GATCTATTAAAAAGCTTCTGCACAGCAAGAGAAACTACCAACAGAGTGAAGAGACAACCCACAACGTGGGAAGAAATTTTTACCAGCTGTTCCTCAGACAAAGGTCTACTATCTAGAATATATAAAGAATTTTTAAAAATCAGACCTCCCAAACTTAAAGACCCTATCCAAAAATGGGCATCTGAAATGAACAGACATTTCTCAAAGAAACAGTGAACATATGAAAAAATGTTGCACATCACAGGTCATTCAAGAAATGCAAATGAAAACAATGCTGAGATTTCACCTCACTCCAGAAAGAATAGTGGCTACCAAGAAATCAGCCAATAACATGCTGGCAGGGCTGTGGGAAAAAGGAACCCTTCTCTACTGTTGGTGGGAGTGTAGACTGGTACAACTAGTACGGAGATCAGTATAGAAATCAGTATAGAGATACTTCAAAAACTAGGATTAGAGATCCCATTTGGCCCAGCTATTTCCCTGCTAGGTATCTTCCCCAAAGAATTAAAGGAATCAAACCACAGCAATATATGTGCACCCATGTTTGTAGTGGCACAGTCTGTAATAGCTAAAACTTGGAAACAGCTCAATTGCCCATCAACTGGAAGCTGGACAAAGAAGATGTGAGTTTTTTATAAAATGGAGTACTACTCAGCCATGAAAAATGAGAAATTAGAGACATTTATAGCTAAATGGATGCACTCTGAGGCCATACTCAAGTGAAATAAATAGGACACACATGTATAAATATGGAATCGTTTCTCTGGTGTGAGAAACTGAAAGTGTAAATAAGGATCAAAATGTATAATAGATAATATGAAATAGGAAGAAAAGGTCCAAAAGGGAAGGGGAAGTGGGAGGGGTAGCAGAAAGGCAAGAAGGGAAAGGAATAAATATGAGAAAAGGAAAAAATGGAAGAAAGTGTAAATAGTGAGGGGTGGAGGGGTTAAAGGGAGGGCAGGGCAATGAGGAAAAAAATAAGAATCCAGATATATCATGTAAAGGTACAAATTCCCAATGATGAATGTCATCATATTGTATACCTAAAATGCTCCAATAAACTTAATGAATAAAAAAAAACACAGTATAATAATACTAGTCTAAAATCTACTATAACTTTACTTAGTAAATCCACATTTTGTTTTCTATAAAAATTAAGAGGTTAATGCATTTAAAGAATTACTTGTTTAAGCCCAGGGATTTAGCTCAGTGGTTCCGCCGCCTGCCTGGCAAATGCAAGGACCCAAGTTCAATCCCTGGTACCAAAACCAAACCAAACCAAACAAAAAAAGAATGACTTGTTTATAGTTTGAGGAACACAATATATAAGAATGCAATTTTATGATACTAACATCCAAAAGTAGTGGAAGCACAGCTATTAAAGCAGCAAAGTTCTTGCATGTTATTGTAGATAAGTTCATATAAATTCAAGTTAAAGTGTTATAACTATAGAATGTTTAATCCCCATGTTTAAGCCTGAAAGGCAATAGCTACAGAATGCATAAAAAAGGAAGTGGAAGACAATTTAAATGTTTCACTACAAAAAAAATTCAAGTAAATACAAAAGAAGAAATAATGCAAGGGACAAGGGACAAAAAGGCTATAAGGCATGTAGAAAACAAATAACAACAATACAGAAGTATCTTCGTATCAGAACTTACTTTCAATGTAAGTGGATTAAACTCTCTAATCATCCAGGCATTGGTAGAATTAATTTTTAAAAATCATGATCCCCCCCCCTACCTGCAGTGTAGAAAGCCATAAACAGATCCAACGGCACAAGCAGACAGAAAACAAAAGAACAGAAAAGTTACTCAATGAAAATAGTAATAAAGGAACAGGAGTGGCTCGGCTAATATAAGACAAAATAGACTTTAAATCAAAAAAGATTACAAGTGACAAAGATATTACATATTAATAAAAGGTTCAATATTGAAAGAAGATATAACAATTATAAGCATTCATACAGCTAATGATAGACTATCAAAATATATTAAACAGGGCCGGGGATTTACCTCAGTGGTTCTGCCACCTGCCTCGCAAGCGCAAGGTCTCGAGTTCGATTCCCAGTACAAAAATAACAATAATAATTATTAGAAACTTTTAAAATTT